TTGAGCCTTTACAATGTGTCAGGCACTGTATTTGGTGCTGGGGATACATCCCAGAACAAAACTGTCTCAAGGAGTTTGCTGTCTGATGTGGATGCATGCATTCATTGAAAAAGTGTTCACTGAGCACCTACACCATGTGCCAGGCGTATTCAAAGTGCCAGGCCAACAAGAGGGAACGGAACACACAAACCTAACAGTCACACAATAGACACCCCTGGCTGTGGGCCATGCTGTGCTGGAGATCCTAGCCAAGGCCATGGCCGATGCAACAGGAGTTTGGTTCCAGTTGGAGGGTTAGGGAATGCATCTTTGAATAAGCTGGCTGGCCCGCCACCCCGGAGGGACATCAGACAGACTTAGGGAAGACACGCTACTTCCCGCACTTCCAGTAGGTCTGAGAGTAGAAGTGTAGCCTAGGTGGAGTACACGGTTCCCAGTGCCCAATGCCACCCACACGCTTTCCAGGGAGCCCTTCTCCAAGGTGGGTCTGGGAATGGTGGTAGGATCTGTTCAAACGTAAGCGTAAGCGAGAGAGAACCGTGGTGGATGGGGAGGGGGACCTGGCTAAGGCCCACTGGCCAGAGCATAGGAGGGGACACAGGAAGCGGAAGTATGAAATGGGGAGCTCAGGGTAGCTTCCCAAGTGGACGAAGGAGGGACTCCAGGACCCAGGGAAACAGTTACACCTGTTCCTGGGCAGCCATTGCCTAAGCATTAGACCCCAGAAAGACAATTTTGCAGGCGATAATGTTTTTAATTGGTAACTAAGTCCTTCCCTGGCATTCCCGCTGCCGCTTGATGCAAACAAAACTGTCAAAGAGTTTCACACTCACAGTTGGTGGGCGGGAGTTTTCAATTCCAACAAAACTCAGGGAGAACTGGGGTAGTTGCAGTAATAGTAGTAGTAGTTGCTGTTGTTGTTGTTGTTGTTGTTGTTGGTGGTGGTGGTGGTGGTGGTGGTGGTGTGTGTGTGTGTCCACTGGACAAGTGGGTGGGCGCCCATCAGGAGCCCTTGTCCTAGACGCTCTTCTAGCAGCTCAGGCCTAGCTGCCCGCGCTGCACCGCGAGGCCGCACCCACGGGCCACGCTCCCTGCTGGCTGCCTCTCCTGCGGGGCAGGCATCCATCATCACCGAGCAGCGCCCTCCCTCCGTCTCCTTCGGGCTCCTCGGCTCTCCTCCCTGGGTTCGCCTCATTTGCATTCCCTCGGCTCTCGGCTCCTCGGCAAAGTGACCTCCGTGCACACAGCAGCGCCAGAGGCTTCCACCGCGGAGGGAGACACCGTCGCCCGTCGTCGCCCGCCTCCCGCTGCGGCCGGGGAGGCGATCAAATGGGCGGGAGCTGGGACAGCGCAGACAGGAGTAGATGGAGCTGGGGACCCAGGGCTGGACCTTGGCCAGTGAGCCTGGTGCTGGGGTGGCGCTGAAGGGCTAGAGTAAGATCTGAACCCGCGACCTCAGTCTCTAGCCTGGCTGGAGTGAAATGTGGAGGTCACTCACCCCGAGGTCCAGGGAGCTGGGCCGTAGAAATGAAACCTCCTCTTGAAACCAGAGGCTCTCAGACACCTCAACGTCCACTTGCATCCCAGCCAGGGAGAGGCCTACTCCACCGCGCAGTCCCCCAGGAGTCTCCAACCCTGCCCGGGTTCTGCCCAGCCCCCTGTCCCCACTCCCCTGGCCAGCCAAGCTGCCTCCCCCAACCCCCCGCTTGGTATTTACACCTTTCACACATTTGTAAGCTATTATCCTGTCCACGCTTAGTCACCGCTGAGCCAAGCGCCACGGATTTAGCTCCTTTAATCTTTCCTCCTAAATCAATCCTCCATTTCCCCTTAATCATCCCGTGGCTCCTCTCTGAACTCTCGCGGCTGCCTCGCCTGCCGCAGCCTATGCCTATCTCTCTGGAACTGCTCCCCCTCCAATCCAAAGCGGTGTCCCAAGGGCACTGTGAACACTTAGGGGGTGGACTGGATATTCGGTCCTGCTACCCCCTGCTTGGGAGCCAAGGGAGGAGGAAATGTAGGCATGCTTGGCCTTTTCTAGAAGACACACAGCACTAGACCTTTCTGTTCTCAGCCCCAGACTCTGTCTTCCTGTCTACTCCCAGGCACGGGGTGGGTGGTGGGTGGGGGTGGGGTCCTCTAAAGACCCTAAGCCTCTGTCACGGCCCACCAAACGCAAAAACAAAGACAACCAAATGCACAACAATTCTGGTAGATGAGATCGTCTTCCAGCTGCCCATGCTGCCCATCGAGCTGGCTATCCCCACCTCCTTGATCCAGGTGCTGAAAGGAGGTGGATGCAGGAGAGCCAGAAAGGGCAGGAAAAGCTGGTATCTCCCCAGCTCGAGGTTACTGCCCTTCCTCCTCCTCCAAGGAGGCTGCCCATCTCTCCTGGACCATCCTTGGGCTCCATCCCCACTCCACTCCCTATCCAAGGGGTGGGTCCAGTAGCCTAGAGGCTGGACTTTCTCTGGGATCTCTAGGACCCTCTTGCCTCCAGGTTTCTGATCCTTTCTGCTCCTCAGCCCAGACCTAGGTCAGGCAGCCCTGCTCTCCACCACAAGAGGGGGCAGGTTCCTCCTGGAAGCCCAAGGACAGGGATGGGGGTCCATAAAGAGGCTAGGAGGGGAAGGTATGGGGGCCATTTCTTCAGATGCTAATCAGCATCTTCCAGCAGTGTGAGGAGAAGCTGAGTTGATAATGAGCCCAGCTCGGGGCTGATTCCTGATTAATGAAGAGGCCACAGGGCTGCTTGAGTGGGGCCGGGTGGGGCATGCCTCTCGCGACCCTCCCCGTTGCCCTTGAAGACCAGCCCTCTGTGATGCTTTTCCCTGCCCTTCCTTGCAGGCATAATTCCCTAACAGTGTCCACCAACTTCACTGCCAATGCTGCCGGACTGAGAGCGCCCCCTCCAGGCAGACTGGAGGAGCAGCAGCCAGTGTCAAGTAAGAGGTGTGCAGTACCCACCTGGGCTCTGCAATCTGAGCTGTAGGCAGCTTCCAGGGTTGTTAGAATCAGGGAACTTTTTATTGAAAGAAACTAGATTTGGAGCTTCTTTTGACACCACAGAAGCACGCTGACACCCTCACACAGGGCAGCAGTTAGCTAGAGCTGAGGCTGAGATCCCACCCTCCACCACCTTGCTCTCGCTGACTCCACGCGCCCGACTCCCCAAGGCAAGAGCAGCCCTTAACCAGATGTTCACTAAATGTGTACGAGGCTCACACCTCAGGACATAATGGGACCGTAGGGACAGAGGACCAGATAGGGGATTCAGGCAGAGTTAACAAAGTTCATCTGTATGTAAAAAAGGCCTGCATCAACATCAGATGGAATGTCCCCCTTTCTAGAGCCAAGGGGTTATAGGGAAGGTCTGGAGTTGGGACGTGAGCAAGGGATAGCCCCTTCTATAGACGACGGCAGGAGGTCTGAGGTACAGCCTGCCAATGTTGGCCTGACGACCGCACTAAACAAGAGTGTGGGAACTAAGGAGGAAACGGATGGAAAGAGGAGGTTGCTGAAAAGCCCCAAATTGGGAGACAGGGGCAACCAGAGTAGTAGAGGACTTTGCATGAAGTCCCCCTTGCCTCAGAGCTGTCCTGGGTAGCGGATGGGGAGGGCTGTGAGGGGAGGGGGAGGGCAGGGGGGACTGCCCAGCTGGAAGAGGCCTTGTCTAATTGTGCCTGATTAGTAGAGAGGAAGAGAACAGGGCGAGTGATTAATAGTCACGGCAGTCACCAGCGTGTGGGGAAGGAGGATTGGGAGGGGGAGGGAAGCCTGAGAGCCAAGAGGGGATGGAGACAGTGAGGTACCCACGGGGCCTTGGTCTCCTACCCTTCTAGGGGCTGTCTGCACCCTTGATCCTGGGGAGTCCTTCAACCAGGAGCTGGGCCCTGCCCCCACCCCCTAAGGGATTCCCTCCTCCTTCCTGCCACAGTTTTCAGGCAGGGGCATGGAAGAGAAGAGACCAAGGTCATGTCTGCCTCTAGGAAAGGAAGTATCTGCATTCACAGGATGCTTTTAGACACCCCAAAGCTTCCAACTCCAAGACACTGGCTCCATCCTCAGCTTAATCTGGGACCTCAACTTGGCTTCTAATCGCAGCCCACAAAAACATCATGGTAAGTATATCCTCTAGTCCCATCAGTAATTCTAGCCCTGCCTCGGCCAGGCAATCTGAACCTTATGCACCAGTATGTTGTCCAGCATGCACCAGTTGCACATACCAGATCACATCTCAAATGCTCAACAGCCACACATGGCTAGTGACTACCGCGTCGGGCAATACAGACATGGGATGTTTCTTTCCATCACCACAGAAGGTTTAATCGTCTAACCCTGACCTATAGAGTATATGCACATATGTACGTGTGCATGCTTGCTTGGGAGGGCTATAACTGCAGAGAGGACCGTGAGCATCTGAGAGCTACATGGGGTGTGGGGGAAGACTAGGGAATGGAGAGCAGTGTTGTTCTGGAACAGGGACCAGAAACCATGGGGTGATGCTGAGAGCATTGAGGTTAAAAGATGGTCAGGAGCTGAGGTGGTGGTGTTTGTGGCAACTGATGCTTGCAGAGTACATACTGTGTGCATGCCAGGCAGTGTGCTAAACTCTCTTCAGGCATCTTGCCCTCGCAATCTCCCCGTAGCCTATGTAATGAATACACACACGGATGTTCACGGAAGCCTTTTGGTCTCCTCCAAGGCCAAGGAATTGAACAGAACCGAGGTTCAAGTCCACACGATCAGACAGCTCCGGAGCTCACACATGGTGTGCAGTCCCCCCCCGCTGAGAGGAGATGCTGCCTTTTAGAGACACCTTTGCTTTGTACAGCTCAAGCAAGGAAGGCTAGGGAGAAAGTGATGGCCTCCCACCAAGCTGACAGACTGCGAGTGAGCCATGATGAGGGAGGTCGAACTGGGGCTTGGCACACAGTTGGGGGACAGTGGGATGGAGAAGGGAGGGAGAGCCCTCTACAGTGTCGGGGGTGGGGGGTGGGAATAGGGTGGTGATGAGAGTACTGAGGTAGACGTGGGAATGGGCTGGTGTGAGCCTGAGTGACGGAGAAAAGGGAAGAGAAGAGCCAGGGGCCTTCGTGGAGGATGGAGTGTGTGTGGAAATGGTCCTAGCATTGCACCTCAGAAACCATGTCGCTCTTTCTCTCCTCTCGGAATCTCAGTCAGGCTGCCTCATCCTTTAAGCCTTCCCAGCCTTCTTTTAGCCCACAGTGGCCTCTCTCTCTCTCTCTCTCTCTCTCTCTCTCTCTCTCTCTCTCTCTCTCTCTCAACTCGGGCTTTTACCATCCAGGAACCTCATCTGGCAATTAATCCTGGCACCTTATGACATTGCTTGCATGGCTGATTAACTCTTGCATGGTTGCTTAAGCTTTTGAGCATCCCTGTCCCTGTTCTTCCGTGAGACTGAAGGCATCTTGAGGACAGGGTTTGAGGACTATGGCGTCGCTTCTTTGCTGTCCCCCCTAGGTCCTAGCCAGGAACCCAGTGTGTGCAGGCACACAGAGCAGCAAGCATTCTGAGTGCCTGACTAGGAGTAAATGAAGGGATATTTGGGAGCATGGGGGTGAAAGTGATTTCAGTGGTACCAGAAGCAAGAGCAGAAGCTTAGGGGACTGGGGGAGGGCACATTACCCAGAGTAAAAATAGGCTGGAAAATGTGACATTTATTAACTTGGATTCCGGAGGAAAGGTCACAGCAGAGTGGGGAGTGGGAAGGAGGAAACAGGGAAAGCAACAGAAAACACATCACAGTCCCTTACCGAAGCCTGTCCGTCACAGTCACTGACCATTCCACCACCCACTCCGGGGCAGGTGCTACCCCCAACGGGCTCAAATTTTCATCTCCTTACCAAAGACCCTCAAGTCCCCATCATGTAGCCCACACCCTCACTGCAGAGCTGATTATGGACCTCGTGTCCTCACCAGAGGCCTCGAGCCGTCCTTCCCCTTCTCCATCTCACCTCACCCAGGCAACGCATCCAACCTTCTCCATCGCCATGAGCCCCAGCCCAGCTCCTAACTGTCTCAGACTCAACCGAGTACCAGGTCCAGAAGGAATTACATGCAGCAGGTGGGGGATGGGGTGTGGGCAGAAGGGTATGAGTCTAGGCTAAGGTGGGCATCGGGGAACAAGAACCCCAAAGGGGGAATTCTGTCCCCTAGTGCTTGCTTTGCCAGACTTGCACGGATGTTCCTGGGACAGCCCCACAGAAGAGGTCCGTAAGCTTTGACCCTCCCTCTCCAGCCCCAGAGTACCAAAGGATGTAGGGAAAGCTATCCTTGACTCCCCCCCCCCCTCCACTCCAGTTATTCTCAGGATTCCAGGGACTCTTAGCTTGGATCAAGGGAATCCCTACCCCTGTGTTCTCTGGATTCCTCTTATCCTAACAGAAACCCTCTGTCACCTCCCGCTCACTTCCTAAATGCCCTCCATCTCTCCTCCATTGATGTGTGTCATCTTTATCCTTCCCTTTTCCTGCCCACCCCAACTGGAGCTAAGACACCAACTCAGGGACACAAAGACCCCATTGATTTCTGCCCCAGCAGCACTTGCTGAGACTGAGTTCCTCCCCACCCCCCATCCCAGAGGGGTGAGGCTGCAAGACAGGAGTCCCGTGGATCCCAAAGGCCACACTCACACTCTACACATCACTTCCTTTGTAGGGACTCTCCCAGCTCTGGTTTTTGGAGAGCAGTATTTCATTTTCCTAGAAGACAGAGCGTTTAGCCAGACAACAGGCTGATATTCCCTAATTCTACTCCTGGTACCATCTCCTCCCTCCTGCCCCCTTTTCATGTTAATTCCTCCCACCCACCGAACCCACCCACACAACCCAAAGCAAGAGGCCCTAGACACTGCAGACACGGTGGGACCAGGAACCCGGTTGATGCAGGTTTCCTGGTAACACTGAGGCAGTGAGGTGAGCTTGTGGATAAGGAGCCAGGCTCTTAAGAAGGGAAAGTACCCATTGCTGCTGGAGCCTGGGTGTGATTGGGCGCCAGGTTAACACCACACATCAGCTCGTATACCAGGCCATGGCCACAAGGATGAAACCTCACACACACATACATAAAGACAGACTTCAACTAGGGACTGGGGACAGGCATCTCAAGCACATGTTGACTACCAGCTTGTGAATGTGGGTGAAAGGAACCCTGATAGACCTGACAGAGGCCAGGACACACCCTCCACACTCACATACCTGACTGTGGGAGGTGTGAGGGCAGAGCAGGCAGAGCTGATGCTCCACTGCTGGTATGGGTACATGTGTTTGTCTTCACACGCATGGGGTGACAGTTGTCCCTGCATGGAGAATGGAGGGAAGAGGTTGGGGCAGATTGAGGGTTGGTGTCGGGAGCGGAATGGCATCCCAAGCATGACCCCATCCTTGGCAGCTGTGAGCTGGGGTACAGGCATGGAATGAATAGCTCTCTGGGTGTGTGGGTGTGCAGGTGTGCATATGAGTGTAGTGACAGGGACATTGAATGTGCATGACAGGGAGTATGCAAGGAAACTGTGTCCCTGAGCAGTAGGAGTGTGTGTGTGTGTGTGTGTGTGTGTGTGTGTGTGTGTGTGTGTGTGTGTGTTCATGTGCCAGCTCTGAGGGTGAGTTATGCACAGAGAGGGAATGAGTGATTCCCAGTGTGAGAGCCTGAGCCAGGCAAGGGAGCAGCAGCAGGAACAGGGGCTGGAGGGGGGTGGGGGCACTGGCAAGCAGGGAAGACCAAGGGGAGCATGAAAGAGGGATGTGTGAGGGCGGCTGTGAAGGGGCGTGTGTGAAAGACACAGAGACGGAAGAGACTGTCACCCAGTATACACGAAGACCATCTCCATCCAGCTGGCTGGCTGGGCCAGCTCCCCAGAAGGCAGCCCTGAGTCCTTCCTTTGACAGGGACACCTCTCCCCTCCAGCAACCCTCTCCCCATCACTTTCATTTGCTAGGAAGAAGAAGAATCCAGTAGCCCCAGAAGAAAAGAAGAACAAGAGCAAAGTAGCGCTCAGTCTGTCTGGCCTTGGGATGAAGACCAGCTTCAGGACCCTGAGCCCATCCCCAGGAATGCCCCTGACCCCCAAGCTTGAGCACTGCAGCAGCAGCAGCTGAAGAGGAGCTGTACCACCCAGGGTAAGCCCTTCTGAGCTCCCACGGCTCCAGGGCTGAGGAGCCAGAGGGAAACACCAGCTGGGGGAGACACGAGGCCTGCCTGTGGTGGCAGAAGGAAGGGAAGCCCTGTTGAGGATGCCCTCAAGTACCACCCTCCACCCCACCCCCCCACTTCAGCCTCTGGGCCACCCCAGGTTTAGGTGGCCCGGCTAGAAGAACTCACCACGGAGAAGTTGCTGGCGGAGCAGCGGTGCCCACTGAAGTTGCAGCTCTTGAGCATGTCCGCAAGCTGGTGGCCAGTGCGGTTGAGGATGTCTACCATGTCAGGCTCTGGGTAACGAAGGCCAGCTGCACGGTGCCCATCCCGGTCTTTGGGGGGCAGCCCTGTTAGATTGGCCAGGTGGAAGATATCAGCATCGCTGAGTGCCGAATGCCGGAATCGGTTGATGTTGCAGAGGGTGACAGCCGGGAAGCCCGCCACCGGGGCTGGGGCAGCAGGGTCCACAGCTACCAGGTGAGGCCGGGTCAGGTAGCCCCTGGCCAGGCTGGCTGCCTGGTATAGGAAGGCAGCCAGTGAGGTGAGTAGGGCCAGTGCCCACAGGGTTCTGCGCAGTCCATGGGGGCCTGGGGCACAGGCCCGGCCCAGCCCATGCAGAGTGCTGGTGCTGGCAAAGGTGGCCAGGTCCCGAGGGGCTGCTGGCCCCTGAGCAGCCCCCAGGAGGCTCTGCTCATCCCCTGCCTCCTTCTCCTTGGGTTTTGCATCCTCCTCAGCAAATTTGATTTTGCACACAATCTCGATCGGCATCTGTCCCCGGCTGCTGGGACTGGCCAGAGCCTCACTGCTACCGTCCCTCCCTGGACAGCAGCCCTGGTGCCCTCCGGAGTGGCGGTGGCGGCAGCGGCTGCTCTTCTAAAACTCAGGGCAATCAGGAGGAGGATGGGGACAGGGTGGGGGCCCGAGGTGGGGGCGTCACTCCCACTCCCAGCAGCTCCGCAGCCCCGGCGCTGCCTCTGCCGCTGCTGCCTCTGCTGCCGCTTGCTTGTCTCTCTCCTCGATCGTCTCCTTGTGGCTTCCCTTATCAGCACCAGCACAGCTGTCAGCCCCTGCGTGTGTCCCTGCGAGCAAGCGAGTGAGCGAGGGAGCAAGCGTTGCTCCGCCACGCCGCCGCGCAGCCCCAGCCGCTCCGCTCAGCATGTGCTCTGGAGCCCACCCCGTGCTTAATAATTCAGGACATGTCAACAGCGTTTCACCGTCGGGCACTGGCACGGGAGGCAGGAGCCAGGCCAGGGAGGGAAAACCACCCCCCGCCCTGCCCTACCCCAGCCCAGGATGGAGAGCCCAGTATTGAGGGTGCTTCTGAAACTCTCGCTGTACCTTAGTCCATTGTGGGGGCTCCCAGAGAGTCCAGTCTCAGGCCATCCAGGGAATGATGCTATCTATGCTCAGAGGGCTCAGCCCACTCCTTGCCACTTTTTCTGGACCACACCCCACGAAGGGTCAACCAACTCTGTCCTCCAGCTCCTGGCTTCCCTGACTCCAGCCTCAGCTGATCTCACTGCCCCACTCACAGCAGCTTCCAGAAACTCCTTGAGAGAGCCACTTGTTTGAATGAGGGAGGGAAGGAAGGGATGGCCAAGCAAGATTAAGAGACAACTGTGGCTTCACTGGGACTCTCCTTCCCTAGAGCCTTGCTGCTGATTCCAACACCCACCACACCCCTACCCGTTCCAGGAGGGGCACCGGCTCCCTTTCTCTGACTTTGTCCCCAGTCCCAATTCTAGCCATTCTTGTGACTGGAGCAGAGGCCACCCTGGCCGACTTGCTCATCTGTGGCCACTTTACTAGCCTTATAGGCTCCAAATCCCTTGCTATGACCAGGCTTGGGGAAAAGGAGGGCAGCTGGGGGTGCCAGACAAGGGAGCAAAGAGCGCAAAGGCAGGGGAGAAGGAAATGAAGAACCCATGGGGGTTATTAGAGGGAGTGGGAAGATGAGGGGGGCTTTCATGGAAATGATATACTAAGGAAATCAGTGCCAAGGATGTCCTGTCCCCTGGCAGAGCCAGGCAGGGGAACCCTGCAGGCTGCTACCTTGGAGGAGGACTCAGACCCATGGACCATCACCGCAGGAGGAGGTAGAAGCCCCTCTTGGTTCACAGGGGCAGATACATTGGGACCTCCCGCTGGGAGGTAGCAAGAATAGTCCACTTGTGCCCCCCCCCCCCAGGGGCGTGTGAAAGTGTGAATCCTCATGGGGGGAGGAAGCACTTGTCCTGGGGAGGAAGGGGGGGCTGACTAATCGGGGCGCTAATGAGCAGCAGGGAGAGAAAGCTCAGAGGGGAGGGGGAGGCGGCTCCATCGATCCAAGCCGCGGAACCAGCAGCTGAAAAAAAAAAGTGAGAAGGGAATCGATCTGAGGGAAACGGCAGCTGCTGGGGATTAGAGCCCGAGGTCCACGCGCTGCCCAGCGGCCACCCCTCCCCTGCGTCAGGCTGGCCCCGCAGTCTCAGCCTGGCCCTGAGGGAGGGTCCCAAGCGTGGCTCCCCTTGGGTTCAGGTTGCTGCTCAACCCACCCTGGCTACAAGGCTAGGTCAGACCCCTAGTGAGGGTCACTCCTGGGTGGAATCCACCCACACACCGGGTCCTAGCCATGCACGGTGTTCTAAGTAGATGTCGCCAACCTTTCAGCAAAGTGGCTTCCCAGGGCCCCACAGTTGGGTTTCCCCCACAAGCTTCCCATGGGTCTAGGTCAGCAGGTTCCCAGAGCTGGGGAGAGAAGACCGCTGGGGACAGGCTCAGGCTGCTTCTGGCGGGGACACAGCAGGGGAAAGAAGAGTCGGTACTGGCAGCAGGTGCTGAGTTCCTATGCAAGGGTCCAAGTGACCGCAGACAGCTCCCTCTCTACCCCATACCCTGGCAGGACTCTCCCATACTCTCCCTGTTCGACTCCCAGACCTTTCCAAAGCCCCCCACCCCCACCCTGAGCCACATACACACCACTCCTTCTTTCCTTCTCTCTTTTCCCTTTTCTCCCAATATCGATTTTTCTTTACTGGGTTTTTTAAAAAGGTGATTTAATTGCTTTTTTTTTTTTTTTTTAGGTTACTTCAGTCTGGGGCTCTGCCAAGAAAGTGGGAGCTGCCCCCCAATCTCTCCCCAGCACTCCCTACCGCCCTGACATCCTGTCTGAATACCTTGCTATCTGCTGAGATCTCAGGGTCAAGCTGTCTCCACCGCACATTGACCTCCATCATGAGCCCAGATAATACCCTCTTCCCCTCTTCAGGTCAGCAGGGACTCTTCCACCTCTAAAAGGAAAGAGGTTGGGTGGTAACTGGAGTGTGTGTGTGGGGGGGGACTCCAGGCCACCGGAATGAAGCAGCAGTTTGTTGCATGCAGACTCCCACCATTGCCCGGTGGCCAGCTGTCTCTAATTGTCCCCAAGTCCCTACAATCCAGTCTCCCAGACCTCTAGGAATCCGGTTATGCTCAGTGGGGGGGCCCCATCCTTTCAGCCCATCTCTTGGTGTTTTCCACTCACTCCTCCCCAGCCCCTTCTGGCCCCCTTCCTATCCCTCCACACCCCCTTCGCCTCTGGCCCTGTCCCCTCTCCCCCCCTCTCCCTGCTTCCCTGCCTGCCTCCTTCTCTGCCCGGCTGCAGTTGGGTGATAATCTCCCTCATTTAGCCTCCCGGCAGCTTCCCCGGCTCATTGCCCAGCTGGTCCCTGGGGCCCGGCCCAGTTTCTTCCCCACCCCCACCCCCAGCCCTGCGCCCAAGCTCCCTCAGCCCCTCCCCGTTTCTCTCACCCATTCCCTGGGGACCAGCTGCCCCTTGCAGGGAGGGGAAAGAGGGCTAAAGGGAGCCCGCCAGGACCTAAACTGGTTGTGAGCAAGTGGGAGGGGCTTCTAGGGATCCCGGAGCTGGGTGTGTGTGTGTGGGGGGGCTGCCATTCAGGCAGGATGTGAGCCCCGCTCAGACTCTTCTACCCTTCAATTATCCCCATTTCTCAGATTTGTTCACAGACCAGTTCTCCCTGCCCTGGGATGCGGATTAGGTTTCCTGACAATAGGAAAGAGAAGGGTAGCGAGATAGGGAAGCAAGGGTTAGAGTACTCTGTGCTAGGCATGCCGGGAAAGGGGTGGAGGCCACAGGGAGAGCAGGATGGATTAGCTAGCGGGTACTGGGAGGATGCTTAGAGTTTTTACTTGAGCAAAATGTCCTCAAGGGGAGACCCAGGCCACCCGGGACTGAACCTGAAGGGGTTCTCAGGGACCCTCTTCACAGCCCAGGGACGCCCCCAAAGGGAGCGGTTTCTGCTCCTTCCTGTCATCTGTGGGCTCCTGACTCCTTGGCTGGCTGGCTGGCTCTATTCATAAACTACACAACCTTTGAACTCTTAAGGAGCGTTCATAGATCGAATCCCCAGCCTCCTGATCCCAAGGGACACCTCCTCGCCACCCGCCCCAGCTCAGAGACCTGGACCTGGTGCTGACCAGGGGGTGGGAAGCCAGTGTGGGACAGACGTGGGCGGGAAGGGACAAGGATGGGCTGGGGAGGGGGGGGTTGTTGGTCAGGCCAGGCCTGGCTGGCGAGCCAGCAGCGGTGACAAACGGGCTGTGCGGGGGCCGAGGGGCGGGGGGCGGACGGCGGCTGATTTATCTGGGTTATTTATGCCACGGACGAGGCAGGAGAAGCGGTTAATGAGAGTCCCGGCGAAGGGGGATGGGGAGGCCCGGACGTGATCTGAGGCAACTGAAGAGGGTTAGCGTCCCACCGTCAGGCCCTGCCCCCAATTGTCACCAGTACTCTCCACACCCCCACAAGGCCCTCCCTGGGCTATCCCAGGGAAGCCCGTGCTCCTCTGCCTTTCATTCATACCATCTATCCCTGTTTGGGTATTCTCAAGCGGAGGTCGCTGGTCACCAGGAATGGAGAGGTTGGGGTCCAAGATTCGAGGAATCTGGGGGAGCCAGGGAGGGGACTTGGAAAGGGAGACCAGGAAGAAGAAAGATACAAATCCTGAACTGGCCAGAAGCCGGGCGAAGTTTGAGGGGTCAGCGGAGAGGGCTAAGAGCATCCCGCAGACACCGAGCTGAGGCTGGAGAGAGGGCACAGGGCCGTCAGGCACTGATCTGGTGTCCACCAGGGAGCCCCGAGACGGGGGTCTGAGTGACAGAGCGGCTAGGCGGGAGGGGGCGCTGGACAGAGAGCAGAGAGAGCAGGAAGGAGAGAGGGAAGATCCCGAGAAGGAGGGGGGGAGGGCTTTGCAGCAGCGAAAGCTGCTGGGAGCAGATAAGGCGGCCCGGCAGCAGGAGGGATTAAAGCTCCGAGGGGCACGGGGGGGGGGGGGGGGGGGGCGCGGGTGCCGTGTGGGATGATGGGAGGGGGCAGGGAGGAGAGAGTTGAGGGCAAGACACCCGGCCAAGGAGACGAGCGGCCGAAATGAGGTCTTTGAGGAGGCAGGTTTAATCAGGAGCTATTAGCTAGGAAAGGAGAAAGAAGAAACTCTTGATCATCCGTTCTGGGAAGGAGGACTTTCCTGTCATGGACAGAATCCGACACCCCACACACGCCCGGGGTGGCAGAGCTAAGCCAAGCGATGAACTGAGGAGAGTAGAGGACTACGGGATAATAGGGTTGGCAGAGGCTGGCCCCAGGAGCTGATGATGCTCAGAACAGGTCTGGAGAGACTGAGAGCACACAGCGCCTCCTTGCGGTGGCCGGTGGAACATAGGCGAGCCACGGGAATAGGTCGTTGGTGGTCCAGTGGCATGGAGACCCCGTCTACGGGTAGGCCTCCTTATGGGAAGGCCTCCTTCTGGGAAGGGGTACAATCTTGGGATAAGGGTAAGTGGCTTCCCAGGGTGAGACCCCGAGGCATCCCTGACCATCCGTCTTCCTACTAGAAGGGTGTTCTTGGTGCCAGTGAGACCCCCTGCTCCCCCACACCTAGCCTAGGACAATTCAGGGATGGCCTTGGTGACAGAAAGCAGCCTTAGGGAGAAGGAAGGAAAAGAGAGGGGGCTGCGGGAGAGGAGCGGGGGGTGGCAGGCGGGGCTGGGTAATTGCGTGTTTGCCAGTTCTCAGTCTCTGCACACGAGGGAGCGTGTGTTGGTGGGTGTTGCTTCACTTTGAGGAGTATCTGCTGGCAGAGGTGACAGTGTGTCTATCTCAGGGGTCTGGGCTCTCCTCGGTTCCCGCCCTCTTTGTGTTTTGGGGAGCATGGCTCTGGGCACACCCAGCTGTGTTCCGTGCTGCTGATGCGGCAGATGTGGCGGGCCCCAGCTGTGCCTGCTTCCCAGAGAGGGGGAGGGGGCTGCAATCTGCTCCCCCATAATGGCTGCTAAGTGCCAGGGAGAGGAACTAAGACAGAGGTAGGATTGGGCCCTGGGCAACCCCAGCCAAAGGGCACTGCCTCCCCCAACTCCGCTCTGACCAGCGGCCCCCCACCCACTCAGTGTTCTTGGCTCACCCTGCCTTGCTTGCTCCTGAAACCCATCCAAAATTTTCTCCACACTCGGTCCCTGTCCTCAGCTCTCCTCCCCTGTCGCCCCATCCAGCTGGATGCCAGGGGCCCACCCCCCTCCCTGGCCCCCAGCTCGCTCCCCTTCGCTGATTTTACAGAATAATCTTTTTATGGAAACTGAAAAAAAAAAAAAGCACTAATGGCAGGAGCACACCCCTCCCCCGCATCCCTCCCCCTGCTCACACCCCCCCAACTTCCCACCCCAGTTCCTCCTGGTTTCTCCTTTCTCAAACCCACCCCTGAGCCAATACCCTCCTACACCTATACCTCCATGAGACCAAGGTTGGGTGCAGGGTCCCAGAGTAGCAGACGAGGGGGCTCCCTGCTAACCTCTTGAGGCAGAATGCTCCCACATATGGGGTGTGAGCTGCCCCCTTAGACAGATGGGGTTTTGGCTCCTCCCAGTGTTGGGGAGAAGTGGGGGCATCGTCCCTCACCGTTAAGACCCTTTGCACGGGTGACCCCCTCAGCCCAAGGAATGTTTTGAAGGGGCCAGCGTCCCTGTCCCACCCCACCTTCAAACACTGACCCTTTCCCCTTCCAGTGTCTCTAGCCATCATGTCTCCACCCCCACCGGGTCTAGGAGGGGGGTCCCGGGGGCCAGGGCCTGACACAGACTTATTGGATTTCACGGTGTTTTGCTGAGAAAATAATTAAATTATCATATTTATGATGGAGCTGCCATGGCCTCTGCCAACCACTTGGAACAGAAGGGTCAGGATAGGGGGAGGAGAGAAAAGGGACCCAGAGCCTGGCCCCGTGGTCCAACCCTCTCCTAGCCCCTTCCTTAGGGAGGTGACCCCAGACTGAGTGGGTCTGCAACTCTCTGCTGATGGCGGTGATAGGTCTCAGCTGCAGGCAGATTGGGAAGGAACCAGGGAAAGGGGCTGTGGAGAAGCAGCTTACAGGTTAGGATTGCTAAGCCCTGGTCATCTCCCATGGCTGTCTTACAGTCCTCGGGACCTGGGAGGTCGTACCTAGGCTAGTCCCCAGGTCACTCTTGGTTTAGCTCCCATCTACCTTCCTAACTGCCTGTCTAGGAAGCTATGATACCCTGGGCTCTGTCCCAGACCCTGGTGTTGACAAGGCCCTGACACCCTGCTGCCTGCCACCCAAGCTGGCTGCCAGGACCCCCCTCCTGCCTCCCACCCAAACCCTGCCCCCCTATTCTCTTCGGGTAATTAGATTCCTCTCAATTAGCAGATTACGATCATTACCAGCTCATCTGGCAACTTAGCTCAGCACCCACAGCTGCGGAAAGGGGGTGCCAAGAGGGGCACTCTGGGGTCACGGGCAAACACGAGAGATGTGTGAAGAGCCAGGCTATGACCCGCCTGAAGGTATCAGGCTGTCAAGAGGTAGCAAGGCACCTCCTAGACCAGAGACCTCTGCCAGAGGAGTGGGGGACAGACCCTGGAAGACCCCTGGGTGGGGGCAAAACCCCCAACTCCCCAAAGCCAGCCTGGGAGCAGATGGAGCTGGCAAAGCGTTAAACAGGCCAGGGCTGGGTCTTGGCAGGAGCTGAGGAGAGCAGGCTGCTGGGTGTTCAGCCTGGGCCCAAGCCTCCCAGCAAGTGTGCTCACTGAAATCCTTTCAGCGGTTCTCTCAGCATTCCAGAGAGCCAGGCCCAGGGAGGGAGGCAGGCAGGCAGGGCGAAGGTCAGGGGGCCAGCAGGCCAGGGAGCCTGGAGGGCCTTCGTCTAAAGCAGCTAGTGCAGAAGACTGAGGCAGTGGGAGGGGGAGATTTACCAAGGCTCTGGATTCATTATTCATGAGGCGGCAGCAACGACTCCAATTTAAATGCTAATGTGGGGGGGCCTGACTCAGCTGCCCCTCTTGTCCCGCCACCCCCAGCCCAGGCACAAGCGGAGTCCAAGCTGCCTCCAAGGTTCAGAGGGGTTTATTTGGGGGTGGAGGGGGAGGCCAGACGTCCCTGGCCACACACGTGGCTCCCTGCAAGGGAGGAGTCTGTCTGGTTTCCTCAGATCCCGTTCTGGACGGAGCTGGCCAGGCAGGCAGCAGCCCCGAGGAAGGTGAGCAGGAGTCCTGGGGGCCTTTAGGTAGCACCCTCACAGGATGATCTGGTTGGTGAAGCTTCGACTTAGCTCCTTGTGTGGCAGAACAATCGAGTTCAAGATGAGCACCTCGGCAGGAATCCGGACACGGCAGCCTGAAGCATGAGCAAGGTCACCAGGAGCAGGTCATGAGAGGTACTGGGGCAGGGAGCTGGGGCCATGGCTAGGCCATCAAGAGGGAGCCCTCCCTGCCCACCTGTGCCCCCCCCCCCCCGTTTCATCCCCCAGTGACTCATGTGGGCTGGGTACATGGCAGGAGCTTGGTAAACGTTTGCTGACAGAATAACACAACACGTGCGTGTGCGTACACACACACACAGACACACAATGTTCCTTCCCTACAGCCATCACCTGTGGAGCTTCCCAGCCCTTACCCCCAGCCCCCCACGAACCATACCCAGGATAGTAATGGCAGGAAGTAGCTTTCCATCCTTGAAGAGGCTCTCACTGTCCATGCGAGCTCGGGGATCATTGGGGTTGGGGTCATTGGGAGTCCCCTCTATGCGGGCCCAGCGCCCCACAGTGCTCCCCCAACCCACGATGCTGTGAAGGACACAGGTGTGCTCCTGTCAGATAGGATGGTTTCAGGTGAGTGGAGTTGGAGGCAGGCACAAGAATGTGAGGCAGGGATTTATGCAGAGCCTAAGGGTAGGGCTCACCCTTCTTGCCCTGGGAGGCGTACCTGGGCCCTCTCCCTCAGTTTTTTGGGTACCACACACTACTCAGTGCCCGGTTCCTACCTGCAGAGTGGCTCCATGGAGGACAATGCTCTCTCGCAGACGTACACCCTCGCCCAAAGTCACCCCCTTCCCAATGGAGACGTTGGGGCCCAGCTGTGAAGAGGACCATCATACCATGAGAGTGGGGATGTGGGGATGCTCAAGGCCACACAACAGGTGTACCAAAGCAGAGAGACAGACCGGCATCTGAGTTCAGTCCCTGGGGATCCCCACCAATCCGAACAGCCTCTCCCTGAGGCTGGGGCCAGATCTTACCACAGCTGACGGGGCCACTTTAGCAGTTGGATGGATGTAAACATTTCCTAGAAGCAGAAGAAACAACCTGGGGGCAGATACCCCAAAACACATCTGGACAGGGAAGGGAAGAGACTGAGTCTTCACTTCCGCACCTGAGGTGAAGACTGTAGGCCCCAAGGGCGTGGGAGAGTAAGCGGTAATGATGGGGTGGGGTGGGTACCTCTGATTCGTGGGCCCCCTGGAGTGTGTTTGGCCAGCCGTTCTGGGTGAGTGATCTGGTATCGGCTCAGATAGAGACGGGAGGCGTAGAGGGCTGAGCTAGGGACCGAAAAGGGGGTGAGGCACTCAGGGTCCAGCAGGACCTGCGCCTAACATCCCAAAGCCACCCTTAGAGCCTCCAGATCAGAGGCACAGGCTCTTCCCCAGCCCCCACATACCCTGCAGACTTGATCTGGCTCCAGATACCCTCGGTGAGGTGCACGTAGATTTGGCCCTGCCCAGCCAGGGCTGAGAACACATCCTGCTCCAGTCGGATGGTCCCTGCCCCTGGCCATGAGCCTGGAGATTCCTCTCTGGCCAGGAAAAGACGAGACATGAGTGCCCTAGCTGAGACCGAATACGGGGTCTCTCCAGGAAGGAACTGAAGGGGCTTTTGCCCCCTCTTCGAGCCCTCCTCTAGCTTGGCTGCTCTATCAAGGTCCATCCAAATCCTAGGCACCTCTTCTGCTACGCTCAGAGGACTGCTTTAACCGGGGAGCCCCAGGCCTAGACCCCACTCCTCCCACCCCTGCCCATGCCCACCTCCCCCCGCCCCATTCACCCATCTAGTCACCCTCCCTCACTGGAAGGCACAGAGCCACAAACTCACCCCAGAGCAAGGCAGCTGGTGAGGGCAGAGACAGTCACAGAGAGAGGGGGGAAAGAGATGGTAGAGGTGCCGGCTCAGCGGAAACAGAGACAGAGAAGCCGGGAGAGATGGGGAGAAGCAGAGACATGGTGCAGTGAGAAATGGTTGTCAGCAAATGAATGAGGCATGAGATGGGAGCTGGGGGTGGGGTGCGGTGGGGTGGGGTGGGGGGTGGGGAAGCCTAGTAGCCAGCTTTCAGGCTTTGGAAGGACAAACCTCACATGAGCAAGCAGAGCTCTGGGCGGCCTGAGTGTGTGTGTGTGTGCATGTGCGTGTGTGCGTGTGTGTGTGTATGGGGGTGTGTGTCTACACTTGAGCACATGTGCACCCAAGTGTGTGTTGCCGTCTGTTCGGAAAGATGTCTCAGGGACACCCAGGGCTGGAGAGAAATGGACCAGAAGGGGAATGGGCAGGCGGTGACAGAGGAGGAGCCGGGACGTGTAAGGAAGAGGGACAGAATGAGGTTAGGAAGGGAGGGACTTAGGGGGGCTAGCTGGAGATGAGTGGGAAGGGGCAAAGGGAGACAGGGTGAGCGGGGTGACATGGACGCTGCAGAGCCCGGCAGGGTCCGGGTTTAGGATGTTTGGGGTGGGGTGGGGGGTCACAGGGTCATGGAGCCTGCCTCACAGTTGCCTATCCTGCTGATTCCGCTGGAAAACATCCCGGAGAGGCTTCAGGGCTTCTGGGGAGAAAAGGTAGATGCCACAGTTGATGATGTCACTGATAAAGGTGCTGGGTTTCTCCACATAGTGCAGGACCTAGGGAGGTGAAAGCAGAATTCAGAGTGGAGGGCAGGCCGCGACCACCACCACCACCACCTCATACTCATTTCCGGGTCCCTTCTATTGACAACTTCCCAAAGGGGAGCTCACGCCTTGCCCCTACCTGGCTTTACATCCCCAGAGGGCCACCTGTTCTAGCCTCCCTAACTCCAGAAGCACCACTCCAGGCCACCGGGATGTCCTCCCCACCTCTGCCTCTGGAAAACCCACCTTCTGAAACCCAGATGACACCGTCACTCCTCAGTCCTCCCCTGCCAGCTCCTCTTAGCTGTTCGGGCCTGTCACCCCTGACCTCTGGTCTGATCATACCTCACCTGGGACACTGTGCCGTTTCCAAGGATTGGCTTCTGACTCTTTTTCTTGCTAGACTGAGGTTTCCTGAGCGGTGGAGAATGTGTTCTGTGGCCCTGTCCTCTCCTGTCTAGCTGGTGTCGGCCTCAAAACTGCATATGCACATGTGCACACATGTGTACATTACATGTATGTTATATATGTGTGTGTGTGTGTGTATGTAGATATTGAACTATGAATAAATAAAATGGTTTTTGTGTCAAAGTCAGTGAGATTCGGGACAGGGATTCTCACAAACAGGGACAATGGCCTCTTGCCTGAGGGACTGTTTCCACCTCAATAATTACGGGGCACCATGCACTTCCTGTCTGTCTTTGCACCAACTGTTCTCTCTGCCTGCAAAACCTCCAGTCTCCTTCATCTCCTCAAGTTTAACTCGGCTCACCCTGCTCCTGAAGGAAGCCCCCGACCTCAGGCTATGGCTGGGCCTCTCTTCTGTGTTCCCTAGTACCTCATGCCTGCATTCGTTCAAACACCACACCTACAGAAATGCACTGGCACCCCCTCCCCGTCCTTCTCTCTTAAAGGGTGACAAGACAATTCCCCAGGGAAGGGTAGGGGCGATGGCGCACAAACTGTCCTGTCTGTCTGACGTGACGGGCCCCACCTTAGAGCGTTCTTAGCATTCTCTGGAGGTGTAGGGTGCGGGGTCGATCTCACAGGGCGGTACCCAGCCCCGCTCTGCCCTCACCTCATGTGTCTGCGGGTTCTCAACAATGCAGCCGTAGTTGAGGGATTGTGTCCTGTTAGCCTGAGAGACAGACATATCCGAGACAGTGACCTGCCCGCTCCAGGGCAGCCAAGGCTGTCTTCTCTTCCTTCCCTTCCTTCCCCCCTCGCACCTGGCACGCAGCTCTGACACTGACAGGCCTTCGGCAGAGTCAAGAGCTGACAGCTGCCCTCCCCCCTCCCTACTTCCCAGCAACCAAAGGGCTCGGGGTTGCCAATGACACCTCCATTCCCTCCCAACAGCCGTTCAGCCTCCAAGACCCAGGGTGGCCCCAGCCTCTCCACAGCCTGCAGCCCTCCCAGCCCTCTCACGGTCCTCCCAGCCCTCTCACGGTCCTCCCAGCCCTCTCAGAGTCCTCCCAGCCCTCTCACGGTGGTGCCGAGGAGTAAGAAAGGGTGGCGCTGGCGTCTGTGAGCTTCCAACATAGCACTCAAGGGGAAGTCGGAGCAGACGTCAGCATTGAGCACGAAGAACGCCTCAGGGGCCCCCGCCAGGATCTGGTCCCGAAAATGGTAGAGACCACCCCCTGTGCCGAGGGGAGCAAACTCCTGCAGGTACCTGTCCCCAGAAACCCCAGACAACTCAGTGAGGTACCATGAGCCAGCGGACCTGACACACCCTCCCCCAACACCTCTGCCCTTGTCAGAAGTACTTCTGGCCAAGGCCTGCAGAGAAACCTCACATGAAGCCATTCTGATGCCCAAAATAAGAATCCCTTGGGTATGGGGTGAACCCTGGCAAATACTGACTCAACCCATTACCAAGAACTTCGAGACTCAGACATGTCTCTCTCTCTATATGTATGTATGTATGTATATGTGTGTGTTCATATGTATATATGTGTTCAAACACCTGACTGGAAGGTTAAACTCCTGCTGGGCAGCCTCTAGGAACTGGGTGAGGGCCTCATCAGGCTGGTAGAAGCCAAGGAGCAGAATCTCCTGCATCCCAGGGACCTAGGACAAGAGAAGAGGTCGGGGGAGAAAATTCCGATGGGAACTGGGAAAATCTGGTCCAGAAGTCCAGAGGATACAAGTTCAGCTTGAGCTGGGTATCCTGGGCAACCAGCCATTCCAACCTGCTTTTCCTCGGACAATGCGCAAGTTAGAAGAACTCTCAGCCCAGATCTTTCCACTTTTTAATATTCTCCCACGCGCCGGGTGGTGGTGGCGCACGCCTTTAATCCCAGCACTCGGGAGGCAGAGCCAGGCGGATCTCTGTGAGTTCGAGGCCAGCCTGGGCTACAGAGTGAGTCCCAGGAAAGGCGCAAAGCTACACAGAGAAACCCTGTCTCGAAAAAACCAAAAAAAAAAAAAAAATATTCTCCCATGCACCTGAACTGGAGCCCACTCTAAGAATGACTTTGTTTACCAAGCTACTGGATTAATGTATAATCCAGTCGTCTTTCCCCCCTTTCCTTCTCCAGGGCCCCCCTCTTTCTCTCTCAGTACTGGAGACTGAACCCAAGACCTCACACATACTACACAAGTGTTCTATCTCTGAGCTACATCTGTAGCTCATGTATGTGTGTGCATACATATGTGGGTACACACGCCCAGGTGTATGCATCCACCTGGAGGTCAATCTTGGGTTGTTTGTTTGTTTGTTTGTTTTTGAGTCAGGGTCTCTCACTGGGGTCTGGGACCTAATGATTAGGATAGACTGGCTGGCAGTGGGCCACAGACACTTGCCTGTCTCTTCCTCCTCAGTGCTGGGATTACAAGTGTCCGCCACCATGACTGGCTCTTTATAAGCATGAGGGGGATCAAACTGGGGTCCTCAGGCTTCTGCAAGCCAGCCCAGTACCAACTGAATCATCTTTCATTATACGTCATTCTGGTTTGATACCAGCATGAGATGAGGGTATATCAAGGGTCTGCAATTGAATTAGGCACTTTACAGCATTGCCACTCTACAAAGGAGGTCTAATCTCTATTTTACAGATAAGGAAACCAGAGCTCAAAGAAGGTAAACATTTTTTGCTTGCTCCGGGTCACAGCAGGGAGACTGGACTCAAACTCAAACCTCACCTATCCCAATAACAAAGCAATAAAGAGAAGGAGCCACAGCATGGGCTCTGCGCTTTATTATCAGTAAGGGCCCCCATGCCAAGACTCTAAATGATCTTTTAAGATCCCTGCCCGAATTTACATTCCATACTGTAAAACTAGATGTGAAATCTAAGCAGCGAGAGGCCGGGAAGTCAACAGGGCTAGCTGCAGCACACCACCAGAAGAAGTGCCATTCACATAGACATCTGTTACACTTGGTGGGAAAAGATCATGGCTGAGAAAGGGAAGACATACGGCATGGAAGAGATGAGCAGGAAGTGCGGTGTGAGAAGAGAACCTATTACCTGGGCACAGGCTTCTATATGGTGCTGGATCATAGGGACGCCCGCCACAGGAAACAGTGGTTTGGGCACCTCAAAAGACAAAGGCCTGAAGCGAGTCCCTGAGAGAGGAGAGAAGATTTTAGCCCCCTGCTTCCTTCTGTCCCCACCCCACCGCCCGCTCCGGCTTAGCCCCTCCCCTCTTCCCCAGCTCCTCACCCTTTTGAGGGCCTCCAATGAGGATCACAGCTTTGAGCATGATGCAGATTGCTACCTAAACCTCAAACGCCAAGGGAAGAATTGCACTCAGACCTCACGCTCCAAATTGCAACACATAGCCCTTCCCTAGGATGGAAACTCAGAAGTTCAGTACAGTTCTCTCCTCCCACCACAAATTTCTTCTCAATCCAGAAAATCAGTTGCCTTCAAAAACATGCACCCCACCCTTTTATCTCTAACGACTTCCCCTTGGCCATGAACCAATTCTGTAAACTCGGGAACTCGACGGACCCCCTTCTCTGACCCCAAACCTCAAAAACCTGAAGTCTCCAACCCAATGACTCGAAAACTCCTGCATCCTCTCTCTAGATGCTCAGCTCCGAATCCCAGCAGTGAATATGGAACCGCAAACCCCGCGTGAGCTCTGGGTATTTAATTTCAATCTTCAGAATGAGCCCCAAGTACTGAACTAACACTAATCTGCGTTTGATGTGCACCAATCCTGACCCCTCTAGGTGCTGACTGTGAATCCTACAGCTACCTGCATGTGCTAAAGCTCAGTCAGAGGGCAGGTTCCCCTGGCACGCCAAACACTGTGCCTACAAGGTCCAACAGTGCCCGTCCTGACGACTGGTGTCAAATCTCTGGATTCCGAGGACTGGTTGCTGACCCTCTGGACCCCACAACTGAGTCTGTCCAATATAGACGTTAGTTTCTCGTAGCCAAGGGCTATGGAACCAACACAAGCCTGGACATGGGGAGAGCAGGACAGGACCTCTGAGGCCGCCCTACATCTAGGGTCTCTTCCCTACCCCTCCCCTGCCCGCCACCCCTCCACCATGTAGATCCTTTTACCACTAGCTCCCTTTACGCCAGCTCTGCCGCCTGCTACAGCTTGCTCCTTCCGCGTACGTGTCTCCTTACGACTCGCGAGAGCTCCTTCACAGGGGATGCCGGGAATTGTAGTTTTGAAAAAGTCCTCTGCTCCAACTTTGTTAGACAGTTGGGAAACGCGCTGGAAACTTTCGAGTTTGGTCGAGGGATCGAGGGGCGGGCGTAAATGAGAAGAGAGAAAGGTGAAGGTGGAGGCATGAAAATTAATACTGAGACCTAAGCTTTCCCAGAACGGGCTCAGGGACAGGAGACAGGTCACAGGAGAATCCCGACTAGAGGTGGAAGGGGTGTGGCCAGCCCTGGAAGGGACAGGGGCGGGGGCGCCAACAGCCGGGAGAGGCTGCACCTAGCCTGAGCAAAAGAAGAGAAGGCGGAGTCATAACTCCCGTGTTTGTCCGGCTGGGATATTTGACAATGAGAGAACTCCTGTTCCGGATGTACTGTCTGTGAAACGGAGCACCGGACTAGGCGCGCTCTCCGGATTTCCTAGAGACCCCACCATTCTGTGACCTTGGCTTGTGATCTTGGAATAAATATGGGGCGGGGGAGGGGGGGAGGGTAAATGGAGACAAAACAAAACAAAACAAAACAGAAAAAGACTCGGAGGGTCAGAAAGAAAGCTGTTTTATTAAGCAAGACAGGGGAGGTTTTGGGTACCAACGGTTCCTGGGCTCGCAGCCAGGGCGAAAGGTCTGACGGTCCCTTTCAAGCCACGTCCACCAGAGAGAAAGCGCTGGGTCCCTGCGCAAGCTGTTTCTCTACTGACCTCACACCTGCAGCTGTCCTGGGGCGTGGTCTGGAGAATGGTCCACGTGGTGGTGTTGGCGCCCATTTGAACACCCTGGGGAAGCTGTGGAGAGATGGAGAGTGGAGCTGTGGGTCAATTTACCCGCGTGGGGAGCCTAGTTAATTAGAATGCACTGTTCTTTGCAACCCAGCGACCCTCATCCTTCTGCAAGGTTTCTGGGAACAGTCCCAGTCCCAGGCCCTGCTTTGGGGGCAGACCCCAGCCCTTCCCTGTTGTCGTCTTTGATATCCTCTCTGTCCTTCATCCGGCGAACATCTGGAGGAGGCTAGCCCACCCCGCTAGTATCTGGGCGGTCAGTGTTACTATGGTGGTGTCTTTGCACGTTAGTGTTATCAGGTCCCTTTTGAATCTTAACCGGGACTAGATGAAGAGCAGGGAAACCCCACCAGTAAGGGACCTAAAGGCAAGGTGCGGTAAGAGCATCACCTCTCCAACTAATATCTGGCCCAAATGTGCATTTGAATTCACAGTATGATATCAGACAAATGATTAGCCTCTAAGGTTTTATCTCTGTAGCTATTAAACAGGACTTAGCCCCGTCCCTCCTTCTCTGGGTCGAGTAGAAGATCAAAAGAGATACAGCTCTCACAGTACTTCGGAGACAGCTTTGAGTAGAGGAACTAAAAAGCTGGATCTTAAATCTTGGCTCGCTCTATGACCTTGGGCCCTAGAGTTGTAGGATGGGAGCCCACAGCTGACTTCTCAGTCTGGGTAGAACCAGGTCCTGAAGCAGGGGAGAAAATTGTCATGCCCTCCTGCAGTGCAGAGGCCGGACTCCTCATCATTCTATCTGGACTAGGCCCAGCCACAAAGGCATGCCAGCCTGGATGCTACTACTGCCACGCCCACCGGGTGGTGCTGTTTTGGCCTATCGCACCTGTACCTTCCACAAGGATGCGCATGGAATCTGAGCACCGGCAGAAGGGACTGGCTACAGTGATGCTAAACTGATCCAGGTAAGCCAATTCTGCATCATTGGCCACCACATCCTGCATCTTGCATCCTCACTCCAGTGGATAAACAGGTCGGGGAGAACCGAAATTCAGCAAGTCAGCTTGCCTGCGTTAGAACTATGTCCTTCAGTGGCTCCAGAACCCAGGGCAGGCCCTTCTCCCTCATTTCCTTCTGAAACATACACCACTACCACCACCACCCCAGGCTGGGTCGGTACTCAGAGTTCCCATAATAATACTAAGGCTTGCTCCCAGCCCAATCTGCCAGCACATCATCTCTGCTCCTTCCCCGTGACCCACTAGATACCTGAGCTGGAAATTGGGATGGGTAGGAGGGGGCTACTCCTGAACTGTTCCATTTTTAAAATGATCCTCGGATCTCTGTGAATTCGAGGCCAGCCTGGGCTACAGAGTGAGTTCCAGGAAAAGCGCAAAGCTACACAGAGAAACCCTGTCTCGAAGGAAGAAAGAAAAAAAAAGATCCTCTGCAGGTCTAGCAGCCCTCCTCTCCACAGCTCTGCACTCCTTTATCCATGGCCCCTGTAGGAGGCCTGGATGCAGATGGAGGTACTCTGGACATGGGAGTCATTGATATCCAGAGTAACATCCTGGAGGTGGGGAAGCTGGGTTTTTGTTTGTTTCTTTGTTTTGTTTTTTTCCCCTCACAGGAGCTGTTTTGGACATCTGAAAAATAGACAGACCACAAATATGGGGGTCCCGGCTAAGCCAGAGGTTTGGGTTTTCAACCCTCTCCCTACTTAAGGAACCCACCTGGGACAGGACTGTCTGAAGCCTCTCTCAGGAATGGACTCATCCTACAGGGGTTGACTTCCAGACCACTTGGCTAGTTGGGTTGTTTGTAGGCCACCTTCCTAGATGTCACAGGTGCACCCACTGGCCCAAGCAGGCTCCTTATTCAGCCCTAGGATGCCTGGGATGAACTGCTCTGGGGTACACCAGCACCTGGCTAGCTGGACAGCTGGATATGACGATCCCTTTTCAAGGCAAGGAGTATCGATCCCACTCCCAGGGGAACCAGAGGAGGCAAATGGGAGACATGTCTCTATACTTATCTCAACCTCCAGGCAGTCATATAACATGCCCTTTTCCTGACACTGTAAGTAAAAGGGGTACAGGTGTTTGTGGAAGTATCCTTAAATACAGTAGCCTTGAACGGCCCATACAGCCAATAGTAAAAAGGACCACATGGTTGTCAAAACCAGTGGAAATCACCTTACCTTTACAGCCACCCTTACCCCAAGAGTCCTTTTGACACCATGCCCCCTGGTGGTTAGATGAAGTATACCAAGGGGGTGCAGGAAAGATATCTGAGAACAGCAGCCATCACCCTGACCCCCAGTGCCACCCTCATCCCCCATGCACGTCCCTCTTTGCGACAGGATAGGCTGGTCAGTACTATCCTTGAAGGTTAGCACTGTGATTGGCTCCCCAGCCCCTAGGTCTGTGAAGTCCTTTGGGGGTACACACTGGTGCACAGGGGCGCCAGACTGCCCGTGGTAAGGACCGTCTCCCAGGGGCTTGAGCGGAGTTCAGTCTGTGCAGGCTAGGGTATCGAGTAGGAGCGTTGTTCCCACTCAGTGTAAGCACTCACTCAGGTGTGGGGCATTGTCACCTTTTGATCAGAACAGTTTTGACACCACTCTGCTGACATAAATTACCTTGGCTCCTCCGGGTTGGGAAGAAGCACTTCACATGCCATTTCCAATGGAGATGGGGAGCGAACAGCAGATCAAAGCGGGACGGGAGAGGAATTTTTTACCATTTATCAAGATATGAGTTCAGGCACCTCATTTTTTATAGGAAAGCACCTGCCACGTGTAGGGGGTTGGAGATCCTCGCAGGCAAACGGTGTATCTTCATAGCTGAAATGACGGGCGGGCAAGGTGTCTCCCTCTTCATCCCTTCTCACTGGTTCTAACATCTTGTTATTTTGTGATGATGAGCCCTGCCTCTTTCCTGAGGTCCAGGGAAGCCAGAATGGCTGTTGGAGCTTGAGTCAAGGGGTCCCCAAGCCAGTGCCAAAGTCCTCTGTTTATAGTCAGAAGTTTGTTCCTTTCATTTTTTTTGCCAAGAGTAGAACTTCAAGGTAGAGCACAGAAAAACCTGGATCCCTCTTGTCTCTACCTCAGGTCTAGGAAGCTCATTTCTGGGACCCATTGACCATTTTTGGGTACTGCATGGGTGTGTCCAGTCAGGGTCCAGGAGACTCCTAACTTGCCATGGAGACAAGAAGGTCCAGCCAGTCCTAGGGTTGAAGTGTGTCCTTCAGCCCTAGGAAAACACTGGCCATGGCTGCCTTGAGCACCCACGGCTGCTCCATGCATTCAGATCTATGCTCTGATACCTAGAGGCTAGGGTCAGGGCCCAATTACTGAGATAAAAATCCATCTCTCCCTAGTCCTGGGGAAGGACAAGAATAAAGGAGGCTGAGGTAGCCAGGGATGGGACTGGTCCATTCCAGAGCCCAGCAATCTTCCAAGTTACCAAGAGGACACATAGGGACAGAGTTGGGTCCCTGGGATCTAGACAGAGGGTAGCTATGGGAATTCAGTAGGTGACTACAGTCTCCCTTCTTCTAGAAACAAAAAGGAGTGGGAGCCAAGGGAAGGATTGGAAGGTACCAGGGCGCTCACTGACACACCCTCTATACCCCTGAAGCACCGCCATTGCCTAGAGAAGGCTAAAGCGCCCTCAGGACTCCCTCCCAGCTTCCTCCCTCCCACCCCACCCAGAGACCACACACAGGTCCTGCCGCTTGCTGTTTTTATTTTCCTCGTGACAGACAGACAGAGAGCTGCACAGACATCTGGATGGCTGAGGGGATGGTCAGGACAACACAGGCAACAGGGACTGGGTGGAAAGGGAACTCCGTAGAAGGCAATAAATAAATAAATACAGACAGGAAGAAGGACGAAGGCCATGGAGGAGCAGTGGGGACATCCTTGGGCCAGTGGAGGGGGCCCAGAACTGCATCCGCGGGCACAGGAGACCAGCGGCCTGAGGCCCACATCTTTGCCTTTCTCCTTTCTCTTTCTGAAGATTCAGCTGCTGGCCTGCCTTGCCACCCGAGCCCACTCTCTGCCCTCCCTCCCACCTCTGCGCCCTCCCTTCTATCTCGGCTCTGGCTCCTGGTGCTGTCTCAATGTCCTGTCCTCCTGTCCAATACTCACGGCCCAGCTTACTGTCCCCACACCACGGGGGATCCTTCTTCCTCTTCAGCCGCTCCCTTCACTGGGTTCTCCCTGAGATATACCGCTCCCACCCCGTTCCAGAACCTTCCTCACGTTCCTCCCTCCCCAGCCTCTACTCTTCCACTCTTCACTTCCCCGACTCCCTTCTTGCCTCTTTCTGTTCTCACCCTTGCCCGGGCTGACCAGTGGGTCTCCTGCTCTGGCCGTGGCCAGGGGTGACATCCGGCTGAAGCCCCAGGGGCCCTGTCCCCTTAGGTCCATGAGGTAATAGCCCAGCCAGATGTTGCTGCTGCTGCTGCTGCTGGTATCTGAAGCCCCCCGGCCTGTCCAGCTCAGCATGGGCTCTGGAATGTCCCTTGGCAGCGTGAGTGGGAACCCGAGTTGATGCCCATGGCCGGGCTGTGGTCCATGCCACCTAGGGGCTGCCGGGGTAGGAGCGGAGCAGCACCTTGTGACGGGTAGCAGCCTCAGCCCGACGTCTCCGCTGCTCACCCAGGAATTCCTTGAGCCGGTTGGTGGTGAAGGTGAGGGTCTGGCGGCGCAGCTTCATCAGGTAGGCATCTTGCAGCCACGGGTGGGCCAAGCAGTCCTGCAGCGAGGGCCGGCTCCTGCCAGGCCAGTCAGAGACCGTGAGCCAGGGAAGACGCTCTTGGAGAGGGCAGGCTGTGCCCTCCCTCAGACCCTTTACCAATCCTGATTCACACGAATATGTGTGTGATACTGGGCAGCTCATGGGCTCAGTTTCTCGGTCTTTGGAATAGGGACAGTGATTCTGTCTTTCCCAGGGTTGTTACAGGCTTTAAATGACAGCATGACGCTGCTGCTGCACTGTATGAAGGAGTTGGGCGTCTTTGGCCACGGGAAGGCAGGGTAGTCTGCATTCAGAGGCAGGTAACACTGGAGGGTTGGTAGGTCGGGGGCCTACTCACCAGGGATGTACTGAGAGGACCTTTCGCAAGAAGAGGGTGGCACTCTGGGATGTGTTAGGGTACAACTGGAAGGCATCAAAGCGACCCCCCACAATCCGAGCCTCTGTTTCCTGGGGGTCTGCCTCATAGAATGGGGAGTATCCGCTAAGCCTGTTGTGGAAGACAGGTGGGTTGGCGTGGTCTCAGATACCCTTCTTATTGCCTCCACCTTTAGAATGATGGTCAGCTGTCAGGCTTGAGACATCAGTGTAGGACATCTGGGAGGGGCACAATACTCGGGGACAGCGCCACTTGGCCACTGGATGTGTGGTGGGGAGACAGGGCATGTAGGAGGAGGTGTGGGCAGAAGTGGGCTGAGAGCTAGAGCAGGCAGAGGGAGAGGATCACGGGCAGAGGAGGGCAGGGAGTTGCAGCAGGGTGAGGCCACTCACATGATGTAGGTGAGCACACCCGCTCCCCAGATGTCCGTGGCAGAGCCAATGGGGTCTCCCTTCACCATCTCAGGAGCTGACAAGAGACAGAGGCCAAGCTGACCCTAGGTTCCCTGTGGCCAGGGAACAGAAAGAGGCAGGCAGGAGCGGGGGGTGGGTGGGTGGGGGGAGGTTTCTGCGACCTTGAGGAGCAGGACCATGGCCAGGTTACCATGCCATGAGTAATATCAGAGCAGCAGGCCTTATAGGTCAGCAGACAGGACAGAAGTGGTGGTGGCTACCAGGAGATATGGGCCACCTGAGGCATGGGATGAAGGAGGTTCCAGAGGACCTAAGCTACAACTTCACAAGCCGCCTTGGATCATTTCCATGTGGCCAACACCAAGTTTAAGAGCTTTTGAAATCAGCCTGGCTGGCTCTAATCCCAAGCCTGCCCCTCCTAACCATGGGACCTGGGGCGATTTACTAAACTGGCCTAGTTCTCCATTGTCTCATCTATAAAGTGTGGCTTGTAGAATAACTCTAAGGAATAGAGACAATAAGCCTCAGTTAGCAGGTAGTTAAATGACTGCTGGTTTCCCCTGCTCTGTACAGTCATAATTGATTCTCTCGTCTTTCCAGCTTTTGCAAATCCCATCGCAGTTATTTGTAACTGTCTAATTGGACGAATACTTAACGTCAGGGTTCCTCTCTTTCCTCATCTGTAAAAAGGGAGTACTATTATGCTAAACTCTAAGGCTATTGTAAAGATCAATGGGAAAAAAAAACAAACCTCTGTTCATTATTTACATAACAGTTAACGCACCACTGTGAATGGCACATTTGTGGGTGGAAGGGGTGAGCCTGGCATGCCCCTCTGGCAGTTCCCCCTCCCTCTACCATACCAGCGGCTGGTCTTCTCACCCATGAACTCCAGAGTGCCTGTGCGGTGGCCAAGGGGCTTCAGGGCCTGAGGGTTGTAGGGCTGGGCACTGCCAAAGTCCACAATCTTAAGGGCATTGTCAGCGGCCAGCAGCAGATTGTCTGGCTTGATGTCCAGGTGTAGCACGTGGTGGCCGTGGAGGTAGTCCAGGCCTTGCAACAGCTGTACCACATAGGTGGCCACGTCATCTTCGGAATACCGGAATCTAGGGTGGGGGGAGGGAGGTGAGGAGCGGCGTTGGAGGTGAACTTCCAGCCAGCTTCCCCAACTCTGGCTACCCCATCTCCCAGGAACACCCAGTTACCTGTCGCTGAGCCCACAGAGGAGCTCCCGGTTGCCACAGCTCTCAGCAATAAGCACGAGGTACCGAGGGGTGATGTAGGCCTCGTGCAGGGACATGAGGCGCTCGTGGTGCAGGGTTCGAAGCACCTCATACTCCTGCAGCACCCGATGCTTGCCCTCGGCCGCGTACGGCACGATCTTGGCAACGAACGTTCGGCCTGTGGCATTCTCCCGGCAGGATCGCACCACACCAAAGCGGCCCCTGTGTGTGTAGGAGGGGGGGATGTCACAGACTCAGGGTGGGCACTCTTTATTGTGAGCGCTGAAGCAGGAAGCAGGGACCCTGGGGACAAGAATGCAGTGGGCTTCAGAGTTCAGGGCTGGGAACAAAGATTCCAGCACTCGCTGGCTCTACCTATGGGAGAGTCTGTAGCCTCAGTTTTCCCATCTGTGAATGGGGTGATAATAACAAGGCAGTGCCTTCCTCTCACGGTTGTAAAGACTAAATGACAGCCCATGGCTCATGCTCGGGGTACTACCTAGCTGAACTCAGCAGTTCTAAAGACCCACACCTCAGCATCTTCTCCAAGTCCAGCCAGGACTGTCTGTCTGCTCTGTCTCTGAAACTCTGTGTTCCTTGTGTCCCACCCACTCTCCCACCTCCCCTTCCCCCATCCCTGCTTGCCTGGCCTTCTCCTCTAGGAAGGTGTAGGGTTTCTGAGGGGGGCCCTGTCGAAGAGTGGTGCTCTCAGGCCCCTCCTTGGCTGGGCTGAGGCTCCGCACAGTCACCTTGGTGGGCTCAGGAGGGGGCTCAGGGGCTGGGGGCTCGGGGGCTGGAGGTGCAGACACAAAGGAAGTCACCATATACAGGGAAGCTGAGGAAGGCGCTGGTTTAACCCCGTGAGGGGTAGAGGCTGGGGTCAGGGTTCCAGTGTCAGGGACAAAAGGCTGGGGTTCACTTGGGGTGACCTGGATACTGGGTGGGGGGGTGGGCTCCGCCTGCTGGGCAGCCAGCAGGGCCCTGTGCTTTCGTGGAGGGGTCTGGGGGGGTGGACCCACGGCCTTGAGTGAGGACAAGGCCTGGTTCGCAGGCTTGGGGGACGTGGAGGAGCTGAGAGGGGCTGCCTGAGGACTCGGGGGAGCAAGAGCTGGGGTGGGGGCCAGTGAGGTAGGAGAGTCAGGAGGTGGGGCGCTGGCCGGCCCTGAGGTAACGGGGGCATCTTGGGGAGCAGCAGCTGGCTGAGCTGAAGAATCTAAGAGGAGACAAAGAAAAGTATCACTGAGTGTTCTGGGTGCAAAGCTGTGTGATGCGCCAGGGGGTGGGGGGCGGGGGATGGGATGGCGAGGAATGGGGGGTTGCGGGGGTGGGGGGTGGGGGGATCCTGGGCTCTGCCACTACCAACCACCCTACACCTTCCACTGACCTTGACCGCCTCTGATGAGGACCTTCTCAGAAGGGTTGCTGAAGGGCCCCTGCCCAGCCCGGTTGGAACAGGCCACACGGAACCTCACAGTCACGCCCACAGGCAGGTGTGTTACATTGTAGTAACAGTCGAGGATGCCTGAGCTTACAGGGTGCCAGACAGATTCCCCTGCAGAGAGCACAGGGAGGGTTAAGGCCTCAGAAGGGATGGCGCTAGTTCTCCATGCTATCTATAAAGAGCCCAGAGAAGACGCCTCTATCTAGAGAAGACACTGGCCTTCCCAAGCAGCGCCCCTCCCCCAACCCCTGGCCTGCCACTGGCTGCCTCCTTCCCTCCCCCCCACCCCCCGCCACCCCACCCTGCCTTGGCCTCACCATCTACCCGCCGCTCCAGAGTGTATGTGCAAGGCGCCCGGCTGTCTCCTGGCTTCCACAGCACCAGCGCTGTATCGTGGTAGGTCTGTGGCACCTCTGGAGGAGCTAGTTTTCCCGGGATGCCTGGAAGGAGAAGGAGAGGCCCCCCCAGCCAAGGGTTCAGCAAGCTCCACCCCACCTCCTCATCTCTACGGCATGGGCCCTGCCCCCCCCAACTCACGGGCCACAGACACAGTACAGGAGCTGGTAATGCTGCCCAAGACGTTGGTAGCTGAGCACTCATAGAGCCCAGCATGCCGCTTGCCAGCCCGGGGTATGCTCAGCAGCTGCCGTCCATCTTTGCAGGACACAATGACCACTGAGGGCTCTGACCTCAGGGACTGCTTATCTGGGGACAAGAAGGCATGGGGGGAGGGGCGGGGGTTGGAAGCTGGGTAAAGTCAGGTTTCTCACACCTGACCTTTACTTCTGCCTCCCTGCGGCCTAGCCTCTCCAATGGCCTTCCCTGGGAGCCTCTTGTCACCCCCGGCCTCCCCACAGGAGGATGTGGAAGATGCAATCTGCTTACCTTTCATCCAGGAGATACGGGGTGCCGGGCAGGCTGCCGGTAGGCAGAGCAGGGTGGCTGCTTCCCCCTCCAGCAGCACCTGGTCCTTGAGTTTAATGTGGAAGACTGGGGGGAAATCTGAAGGAAAAGAGACAACTCAGGACCCTGGCTGCTTGCTGCCGACGGAGGGACAGACGCATGTGAGCCCCGGTGGGACGGGGCCCCCGCAGGGAACATAGTCAATGGCTCTTTCCTCCCAGCGGGGAGTAGAACTTCACGCCGCGCCTTCAAGAATTTTCTTTTGGTAAGCATCACCTTCTCCGGGCCCTCAGCACATGTAGAACCACCTTCTCCTTGACTCACGGTTGAAGATGCTCGGGGCAAACCTCACCTTTGTAAATCACTCAGAGCTGAGACCAGCGCTAAGCGC